GTCTATACACATTTTCTGTAGTAACTGCCCAATCAAACTCCCATGTCTGTCAAGCTTCCATTACAGTTCCCTGACGCGCAGGTTCTTCAGACGTTTCAAAGCCATATGTAAAATGCTCTGAAAAGAATACCAGTAAAATAAAATTAAGTCTATATGTAACTTTATATGCACAAATTATATTGGATCCTTCCATATTAGTTCTGTGCAAGCAACACTACATCATATAGTATAAATTATTGCCACAAAAACAAACAAAAATAAAAATAAAAATGTGAAAAACAAATGACCAAATACAAAACTAGATCTATTAAGAGGACTGCCGCGCTGAATTTTCAACAAATATTTTCAAAATATTGAAAATTTGAAAAAAAAAAAAAACTCCTGTATCTTGTAGGCTTTGGCAATCCCATGACATATTTCTGATAAATACGTAAAAATAAAGAAGTTATGACTAAATCTCTGACCCCTGCTTGCTGCTCCAGTTTACTTTGTCGCGTCCGAGCAAATATACTCGACAAATTTGTTTTATGGGAATTTTTTCAATTTATTTTGGTATTCTCTGGTAGCTATCTGGCAATTCTGTTTACTCCATCAGATGATAGCCACAACTAGAGACAAGGCGGGCAGTCACCACGAGAGAGTCAGAGGGAGAGGTTGCGCATCTCCTGTCATCCCATAGACGTACCCCTGATGCACCCTCATCACAAACTAAGGGGGACCTACTAATGATAGATGTTATTCCTGTAACTAATAAACATAATATGATGAGAAATACATCTCAATCACAGCTGCAGCCGTTGTTTATTCGTATGAAATGCCTCGCGAGGTACTGTAAAGTCACTGTGAAGCCTGTGATGACACATGGTACTTCTACAATCCTGTGCAGTTATTGCCATTCATTAGTAACTTGCAAAAGAGTGGGACCAGGTACCAGCTACACTTCAGAATACCATGTCAATACCATAGAATTCATCAAGATTGACGCAGAGATCAGATTTCTAAAAAAATGAAAAGAAAATAGAGGAAAAAGTATCCTCAACTTCAAAGCCTGATATCTAAAAACTACACATTTGTCAACATCTTTTTTAATATTTCCATAACTACTTGGGCAATTCTAACGGGGTTTGGATCATTTGAAAGCTGAATAAATTTGCAATTTTTAGCCCAAAGCAATAATCATTTTAGGTGATAGAAGTTCATATATTATATTTTATATTCATAAGACTGAACATTTAGAAAAAAAAAAATCCCACTAAACTAAGAGGAAATTGCAAAATCATACTGGGCAAAATTTAGGTATTGCTATAGAGTATGGGGTATTTTTTCAACAATTTCAGTTTATATATAACTGCAACATAAAAAATTTTGTGATTCTTTTTAACTTGTCTTTTCATAACTTTATGTTTTTATTATCAAATGATATGAAACTTTGTGGTGTAAATTCAGCACATGTATATATAATATATTTAAAATCATAAAATCTAACATATTTGAAAAATTGCAGTCTAGAGCGTGACGGCCCCTTAGTATTCCTTTAACTAAATGAAAGATGAGGATAGACAACAAATCCTGTTCTTGGAGAGGAATTGGGCAGCCACACTTTCCCCAAACTTCATTCAGAAATAACGAATGTTAGGCATCTTGGGGGGAAATAAAACTGAACTTGACAATAATGTTAATGTCATAAAAAAAATCACACTGGCTTATTGAGGTAAAAGATACCTTAATGGGAGCAGCTGGCCCAAAGGCACTCTCAAACACTCCTACAAAAGAAGGAGGAGAAACTGAAATAGTACCCAAAGCAAATGAAGAATTAAAAGCAAAAGAAAAAAGAACAAGCAAAATTCTATCATAGGAGGATGAACTCAAGGATGAGAATTTTTACTGAAATAATGGTGACAAGTTTGATAGACAAAACATCCAAAGTAATAAATGTAAAGGACACTTTCTGAATGTAGAAATGTCAAACTAAATGACAAGTGACCAGACAACTAAAGAAAATGAGACAGAAACTAATCATTGAAAAAGAAAAGTCCTTGCATCTCAACTCATTGTAAATTCAAGCATGAAATGAAGGTATGCATGTTCAAAGTGTTCTCAGAAGAGCTCCTGAATATTGTATTTATTATATAAATTGTTAGTTTAACAGCAGTAATCACAAGATTGCACTGTATTAATTTGAACATACTGATGCTCATGTTATAGACGAAGGTTACTAAAAATATTTAATTAAATTAATTTTGGGACAACTTTTCTGAGACACATTTGGACACATCCTTAAAAAGAATCTGGAAAAAGATACTGGAAAGTTAATCACTATACCTCTACTTGCACATTGAATTAATAGAGAGTAAGAAAAAAAAAAACTTGTTTACAATATGAAATAAAGAAAGAGGCAAATACAAAGGAACAGTAATATATGATAGAAAACATTAATCAGCAATATGGACTTTGAGTTTATAGAATGACAGGATGCTGATAAAAAGAGAACGGGTAAAGAAAGTCTGAAGGTCTAAATGATATGCTACTACATTTTCAGCAAAGGATAAATATAATGCACTACATATTGAACTTCATAAGAAATGCTATGAATTTTCCTTAAAACAGATTTCAACTGTGAGAAAAGGAAATAATTTTGAGAAGAAGAGGATGAAGAGGAAGAAGAGTAGGAGAAGAAGGAGAAGAAGGAGGAGAAGAAGAAGAAGGAGGAGAAGAAGAAGGAAAGGAGAAGAAGGAGAAGGAGAAGAAAAAGAAGGAGAAGAAAAAGAAGGAGGAGAAGGAGAAGAAGGAAAAGAAGAAGGAGAAGAAAGAAAAAGGAGAAAACAGAGAAAAAGGAGAAGAAGAAGAAAAGGAGAAGAAGAAGAAAAAGGAGAAAAGAAGAAAAAGGAGAAGAAGAAGAAAGGAAGAAGAAGAAAAAGGAGAAGAAGAAAGGAGAGAAAAAAAAGGAGAAGAAGAAAAGGAGAAAAGAAAAGGAGAAGAGAAGAAGAAGAAAGAAGAAGAGAAGAAGAAGAAGAGAAAGAAGAGGAAGAAGGAGAAGAAGAAGGAGAGAAGAGAGGAGAAGAAGAAGGAGAAGAAGAAGAAGAGGAAGAAGAGAGAAAGAAGAAGAGAAGAAGAAGAAGAAGAAGAGAAGAAAAGAAGAAGAAGAAGAAGAGAGAAGAAAAGAAGAAAGAGAGAAGAAGGAGAAAAGAAGGAAGAAGAAGGAGAAGAGAAGAAGAGAAGAGGAGAAGAAGAAGGAGAAGAAGGAGAAGAAAAGAGAAAGAAGAAGAAGAAGAAGAAGAGAAGAAAAGAAGAAAGAAGAAGAAAGGGAAGAAGAAGAAGAAGAAGAAGAAAGAGAAAGAAGAAGAGGAACAAGAAGAAGAAGAAGAAGAGAAGAAGAAGAAGAAGAGAAGAAGAAGAAGAAGAAGAAGAAGAAGAAGAAGAAGAAGAAGAAGAAAGAAGAAGAAGAAGAAGAAGAAGAAGAGGAAAAAGAAAAGAGAAGAAGAAGAAGAGGAAGAAGAAGAAGAAGAAGAACAAAAAGAAGAAGAAGAAGAGGAACAAGATGAGGAACAAGAAGAAGAAAAAGAAGAAGTAGAGGAAGAAGAAGAAAGAAGAAACAAAAGAAGAGAAGAAGAAGAAGAGAACAAGAGAAAAAAAAAGAAAAAAGAAAAGAAGAGGAAGAAGAAGAAGAAGATGAAGAAGAAAAAAAGAAGAAGAAAAAGATAAAAAGTAAATCTAGAAATACTTCCAGAAGTTACGTGCCATATGAAGATATAATAGACCAAGAAATTAAAAAAAAAAACATAAACGAAAAAAAAAAATCTAGTGATAAAGAATGATGTCAGGTTCCATAACCCACATAAGTTTGAGGATTATCTCTGCAGGTTGAGAGGATTTCAGACGAAACTCAATGAAAATGGAATCCTGGTGATAATTATGATAGGAAAGTGTTAGGATTTTATGCTGTATAAGCTTAATGATAAACAATATGTAACGATGATGAAATTGTTTCTAAATGAAGTATGGCAATGATAATGCAGGTAATATTTTTTGATAATAGTAATAATGGTAATAATGATTATAATGGTACTGACTGATAATTGAGGGCAAGATTTGGTTACTTCCATTACATTGCAATTTCTTTTCTTGGAAGAAGTCTTAAGAAAACAATAACAACAACAACAGCAGCACAGGGGCAGCCATAGTCGTGCTACTTACTTCCCCAGAAAGAGAGAGAGAAAAGGGAGGAAGAGAGAGAGAATACATACATACATACAATACATACATGCTTCATACATACATACATATATACTTATATATATTCATATATATACATATATATATATGTATATATATATATATAT